CTCCTCTGGACTGGGGATTTTTTCTTTCAGACCATCCCTGAATAGTGGGGATTCAGGCCACATACAAGTACTCACCCCCAACAATTCAGGTAAGTTAAATCATATCCCTAAAGGATTGTAGCTTCAACCACTGGCACATATACAGTAAAATGAAAATTTTCAAGGCAAAAAGAAGTTGAGGATCTTCCCACAAAAGAGCATTATCTCCAGTTTAATGCTTTAATATTCTTTAATTTATCCAGTTTCCTTCACATTGAAGGGAGGCTTTGAATTTTGCCTAAATAGCACGTATCCTGTCACCAGTTAAGTTCTGCTATTTATTAAACTGACCCCCCCCCACCCCCCGCCTTTGAGATCCCTGTTTGAACATTGCTAGGAGTTCAGTTCTGAATGAGATGATAAAGTCAGTATCCTATACCCATCTTTTTCAGGAAGGTACCTCTGCTACCAGTCCTCTTGATAAGGGGCTCTGATCTTCCATAGCTCACCAAAATCTTTATATTGTTTCTACATCTTCCTACTCATAAACTCAAACCTCTCTGTCCCCATTCCATCCTCACAGAAAAAGAATGGACCATCCTAAATAGTGGGGATTCAGCCACCTTTTAAATTGCTTAGCAAAGAGTTTTTTCCCTTCTGAGCAGTGTTCCCAGATTAAGAACTACCCTTTTCCACAAGTAACACTACCAAGGAACTGCTCAACAAAATTATCTTTCACCTCTTCAGGTCAGAGGGAGAATAGAAGCCCACTGGAGAGTCTTCCTGGTTTTCAGCTACCAGCCCTGCAGGTGAGCCATGACTAGTCTAACTTGTCTGAGTATGAAAAATTCACCGTTAGGCCTGCACGTTGGACACATTCTGGTCTCCTGTTAAGGTGGTAGAATGTACCCAGTGGAGAATGACCTGGGTTTCAAGTGTGGTAACAATATGTACACAATTTTCCATAATGGTCTCAAGTTTCAAAGAGTCTATCCCACTATCAGATTAGCTTCCTGGTTTGAGGTTTAAAAAAATTAGGTCACATAGTAGTGAACGGCTTTAAACTGATTTTGACCAAAGTAACTAAGTTTGTGGACACAGCTGACATTCCCAAGTTTCACCAAAAAAAGTATTCTTGATGGAATACATCTTTTTGCAGAGAGGTACTACTAGAACTAGGAAAACCATGTTTATTTCTCCTGAGATAACGAGTAACATTTTATAAATTTATGGGACTATCCTTCTGATCCAGGCAATGAGGGGAAAGGGGCGTGGAAACGAGGTTTGTTAAGGAGCTCTGTTCTATGAAAAGTCTAGGCTTGCCTTTTAAGTTAACTTTCATGACGTTGGTCTTGAGGATATTTAAGCCCTTTCTCCGTACCAAGCTCCTGGTGACCCCAAGGAATTACTAAGGTAGATAAATATTTTGCTCTCGTATTCCAAAGTTCCTTTTATTTCCATCAGCA